TCCTCATCCTCGGCCCATCTCCTCTGTCCCCATCCCTTGCTTTGCACCTTAGGCTTATTATTTTCCCTCTATGTACCTCTTCTCTTGCTGCATCTTCTACTTTGCCTAATCAATGGATTTTGTTTGTTCTGTTGTATCCTGCCTCACACGTTAAAGCATTAACATCTTTTTCAGACAACTTTTAAGGAAAATGCAGATAGTATAGCCGAAAATGCTCCACTTATTAGTCGAGATGTTACAGTATGATTTACGCCACGTGCAAACCTTTCTCCAGCATTTTACCAGACCATGTTTCGCTCCCAGAGCAGCAGCAACACTCACAGACCTGCCAATTAAAAACTACTTTTTCCTTCCTAGTCCTCAGTATTGCCTGAAGCTAGATTAATATTTATTAGGATCATAGATAATTTATTATAACTCATATACATTTTTAATTTGACTTAATTAGATTTTTTTAAAATTGTGTATAAAAAAACCTAAAAAGATACCTAATTGATACATATATATAGGCATAAAAACCAATATCAAACTCATGGCGGCCAATGCAAAGTTTGATATAATCCAGCAATTATTCCTGGGCAAAGCCACAAGGGGCAACAGCCCACTGGGTGTTCAGACTGGTACTGGTGGAACATGAAATACAAAAGAAATGAAGTGGGGTTGGGTGATGAAACTACAACTCCAGAAACTCTATTGCTGATGAAGACCACCAAAAACACTAAAGTCTTGAATTGACAGTTTTGTCCACTGATGATAAAAATAGATGGTTCAGTGCTCAATTGTAAGTGCATTTTTCTTTTCTTCACCACCTAAATGTTGATTAACACCGTGCATTCAGATTGTGAACTGATTGAAAAACATCTGGTTGTCACAGAATAGAAAACCGCCTGCACTGCAATGAACAGCACCACTCAGTCATAGTGCAGACACAGTGCCACAGCAGGAGGCACAACACTGCAATTGTGGGTCAGACCTTTAAATAAAAGCAAAGTAATGGTTAGTTTTAATACTGCTCTACTTCTCTCAGTGCACACAATCTATCCTACCTCGTTTGCCTGTGTTGCTGTCTTGTATCCTCTTTGCTTTCTCTCTCTTGCTGCCTATCTCCTTCACCTGCTCTGAAACCTCCATTAAAAGGAGATGAGAGAACAAGATAGAAAGCTCTCATATGCCTTTTTCCTTTATCTATTTTCTCCTCAGAACAGAAAATGAAGTCAAAGAAACGCAAAACAAGGGTGTACCCATTACTGATTTGACCTGTTAGATCTTTGCTTCCATTTGGTTCACAAACACCCATCAGTCTACCGTCGCTACAGTAAGGAAAATCCATTTAATTTGTTTTCTTTTCTTTCTCTATTTCTAACACCCCATTTCTCATCTCTCCTTCTGTTGTGCTGTCTCCCTCACTTCTTCCATACTGTAGTGCTACGTACAGGATGGCAGATTTTTTGGGTTATGGAAGAAGTAGCCTTTCGACAACAGTGTATGACTCTTCCCCTCCTGCTGACACATCTTTCACAGAACTGAACACACTGAGCAAGTGACAGACAGCAGTTTCTACAGTGCTATCACCACATGAGTTTTAGTTCAACTTTGATGCTGCTGCAGCATCCTTCAAACTATGCTGTTCGGCCATTTGTATCTGCTCTGAAAAAAAAAAAAAAAAAGGGTACAGATGTCCACCTCCAGCAAATAAAAAAAAAAGCAAATTATCCAAGATGGTTTGGGTTCCTAAGTGGCCAAAAGCCCATAGGGTGACAACTTTTTTTACCCTCCTGTTCTCCACCTTTCACTGCATCACTCAGTCGCCGACCTTGTCGCAACCCTTCAGTAATAATTTATTAATCTGTCCCTCAAACGTGGCATTTCTCCATCCATGCTTTCCTGTGTTGATTGTGTTTGGTTCATTCATATTGCATGGTAATGGTGGGGGTGCTATGTTGATGCGTTTCATAGCTCAAATATACAGCTAAATGGTGTTGAGAGAGTGAGAAAATTGAGGGAATTGGGGAAGAGAGATGGGGAACAGACAGAGGGAGGAGAGGAAGATGGAAATAGGTGGAAGAAGAGGAGAAACAGTGCTTGAAGGAGGGGGAAAAGGATGCGGAAAATATGTGCATTATTTTAGTGGTAGGTGGGAGGGAAGAATCGAGTGGTGCAGGGGGAGATGAAGAGAAAGATGTGGGGTGGAAACAAGGCAGAAAAGTCCTTGAAGTGGGAAGGTCACAAGCTATTCCATGGCTACTCATCTCAGACAAGTTGCTGAGAAAAGCACTATGCACAGTGCAAGCAGCTACTTTAACAGTGAGAAGTAATGCACCCTGGAAGTGAGAATGCCACATAATGCGGATGTTAAATAGCTTCTTTTTTTTGGCCTGCATCCCCATACCAGAGGTGAATCTGAAATGTATAATTTTGATTTGAATACAGCTCAAAAAGCTAAACTGTCAGATAAATGCTTCATCTGGATGCAGTGATTTATCCAACTTAATGTTAAAAAAAACATTCAGTCTGATCACTGAGCCACGTAAACTGTTAATAAACTAAAACAACTAGCACTGGATGATAAATGAATTCACTCAAATTCAATTGAAATAAATCTGTGTGCACAACACAACCATTCATTTCTCCCCTTTGCTCAGAACCAAGAGACAGATTATTTGTTTTATTGGAAAGCCACCGGTGCAAGTCAAATTCAATCACATCCAAGGAGTCAAAAATCACTACGTTAAGTCACCAGGCAGTAAAGGCAGTATTTTATTCCCAGCATCCACAACGAGCCATAAGAAGGGGGGGAAACTGTAAGAAACCAGAGGCTCTCCAGGAATTTATAGTTTTTCCAATTGCAATAAATTTGACATGCAGACAATAATATCATAACATTGATCTGCTTCCCTTGCCTGCTTGTGCGCACTGTTCAGCTGCAGATTGCAGATTTCTGACAGGATACTGACGAGTGCACATCACACAACATATTACTTGTTTTTAGCTTTGATGCACTGTTAAAGATTTAATTTCACTTTTTCTTCCCCCCAAGCAGAAGTCTCCCACATTTAGCAGATTCTAGGCTACAAACCAAACATAACCCAGTCGAAGCCATTGAACGCCCAAGGCTTTTTAAGCACGGTGTGCTGCTGAGGTCAAAATCACCAATGTCCCTTAACGTTATCTTTAAAACACGCTTCAATTTGTTTTCATTAAACCTTGGTTTAATTCTAATCTGACATTTTTATTGATTCAAAGTGTCTTTCATTACCATTTAATTATTTGTAAAGCGCTTTGTGACACTGTTTAGCCCTAATAAAAGCAAATAGAGAATTATCAAAAAGAAACATTAAAGAAAGGGAGAGAACATAAGATGGTAGGGAGAGAACAAAAGCAAGACAAGAAGAGTGGGTGGGTGTACAGTCTAGGGTGAAGGGCAAGAGGACCTGACAGCAAAAAACATCCAGGGATCAGACTTAATCAACAAGAGAGGGATTTGTAGAGACATAATGAGAAATGGCAAATATAGTTTGTAGATGTACAGGATATGTGCTTGTGGACAGATACACGCAGCGGTCATATAGTGGCCTGTGTCTTCTCATGTGTGAACACTGTCAAAGAAAATCACTGGTCTTCCCACCCATAAGGCACATGGACACATACTCTCAATACTCATGGCCACTCCAAGCATTTAAAAAAATAATGAAGATACACACAAAAAAAAAAACACTTATAATAAAGATGACTCATTCAGCCATGCAGAAATACACATGCACACAGGGAAATTATGTAATCCCACTCACAGACCCCATATGGCAATGTACGTTTATAATTGCAGTGGTGAAAGCTACTATATGTATCAATGTGACAGACCTATAATTCAAGAGCTGGTTGATCTCTGCAGCTGTGACTGTGTGCACACATGTTCACACACATGCACACGCATTTGGATGACGACCTTCTGTTATCTCTCATTATCATTAAGCTCCATTAAGTGATATTTTTTATATCAACACAGAATCACACAAACTGTTTGAAAGAGAGGTCTGTACTATAGATCCCACTGAGAATCAACAATCCACACTGCAGCTCTTGGCATCATTTAGTTCATTGCTCTCATTTGCTGGTATGTATGGCTGATTCACCACACCACCATAATTAACCAAGCTCTCAAAAGTTGATTTTATGCTTGACTCACAAGCCTAAATGTCAATTGGAGGCTGTTAGCAAAATATACATAGGCTACATTTGACATGTGGCAAGGAAGAAGACTTTAAAGTGATGCCATGTTGCTTTGCAAGGCTGATGTGTAAATGACATGTGTACCAAACTAAAACTGCCTAGAGCATGATTAGAAGAACAGAGAATTATGTTGTATAATTAATCTTAGAAGCAAATAGCTTAATGTGCCAAGCTGGGATCTGGCATTTTACCACTCAGTGTTGAAACTGGACAATATCTCAGAATTCATCTCAGAATGTGCCAAGAACATGTTTATTGCACTCAGTGATATAGAAAATGAGTTTAATTTGATTTCTAAGCTCCTTTTTACTGAGAACCACACAGTGTGTTTTGTAAGATAAAATCAGATGCACAATGCCTGAGGTTAACATAAAAACATTTCAGTTAGCCACTTTAAGAAAAGGCCTGGAAGATGAGGAAAAAAGCCCTTTATTTGGTGCATAGTTTGAATTAGATTTTTTCCAGGTAATGTTTTTGATGTTGTATATGTGTTACTGGTAGTTGTAGCAGTGACTTGTTATCCGAAGTAGGATGGGCTATTTGTTTAACCATACACAGCGATAAAAACGAAATTGTATCAATGATCAAGGCTCAATTACTGAGAGTTGACTTTCTTTCCTGTAAAACTACTATGAAGAATATATTTTTGACCAATCTCTCAACTTGCTGACTTTCTCTAGTATTTATAAGTGATGTGTCAAGGAAGACCACATACAGTCACCCTGACCACAGTATGGCAAAGGGCCTCCAAGTCATTTTAGGATTAACCCTACCTCAATCCTTCCAGTGTCTGGTTGAAAGCCTCTGGCTGGGTCTTCGGTCGTCACTCTGCACTGGATCGCGCAGCCGTTTACCCTGATCTTGTCTTGTTTGAGATTCAGTTCTGGCAGGCTGCGGCCCTCACACACATGCAGCTGGGCATGCACCAAGTCCACACTGTTGAAGTAAGAGAGAGGCGATGAGGTGAATAAATTGATTGAAGCCATGAACATTGTGTGAATAGCCCTTAATGCCCCTTGATGTTACTGTGGAGAACATTTTTCCTGCTTACGCCAAGGTTTAAAAGACCAGTAAGGACATTTACTCAGTATAAACATCTTTAGCTATTCTTGGCCTCAACTCAGAATGGGGAGGGTGTGGATTTGCAGTGGATGTGAGGATTTTTCCAGCACTTCTCATCTGAACAAATGAATCTGCGATGCATGACAAGAAAACAATCCCACGTGGATACCTCTTAATAGCAAATACAAAGTAGATTAAAACCAGAACAACAAAAAAACACACTTTAGTTATAATTCGATGTTGTTGAAACAGTGGCTCCTGGGGAAGGAAGCAGGATATGGAAAATCCAGGTTTACATTTGAAAACAACTACTAAATGAGCAATTCAATTAGAGATTAGTATGGGTGCTAAGGTGTGCTATGAAGAATCTCAATCAAGCAGTTCTTAGGATATGTAGGACTAGGACTAATTCAAAAGCAACTAGACCAGTGTTTTTGATCAAATGTACACAACGAATTGCACTGCAAAGAAGCCCAGCCTCAAACAGGTTTGTGTCTAACTAGAAGTGAGTACAATTCAAATATTAATGAGCAAATAAGTAAATCTCTGCTTGTACGATATACTGATTAGCTAAGTGATAAAGATCATTATAACTAATTGGTAAAGTATTACACAGCCATGCAAAATATCTATAAAACCTGGGATATAAAAATAATTATTTGGATACAAAACTGACAGAGAAGATAAGAAAACTATTATAGGTATTATTCAACTTATTCAGTTCCAAATGATAACAAGAAAATGTGCTTTCCCATTTGTTCTGTCCCTTCAACCTTAACATACACACTGTTTACATGTACTCAGTACATTTCATTCACACATAACTAAAAAAAATAGGACAAATATAAGTATATTATGCAAACTCAGCAATTACTGAATATTAAAGAATTTCAATGTGAAAGGGACAAAGAGAAGTTATTTTCTTCCATTTCCATGAGTTGTAAGCCTTAACATAAATTTTGGCTCATCTGTATGCATTTATTTAAATGTAAAGCTCAAATGAGATTCACAAGTTTGAGCTTCATGACCTTGCACAGTTTAATGCATAGCCCAAATGTATAAAGATATTTTGACTTTGTTGCTTTTTGGAGACATTTTAAATGCATCAGTGGACGAACACAGAGGGTGGAGACGCATAATTCTTAAACTGCTGGGTCCCTACACCCAGTCCACTGCCAAACATAAATACATTGAGACAACTGGGAAGTCTCTCGGCCTTGAAGGGTGAATGAGAGACAGACGGCACACACATTAGCAAACATTACCAAACATAGTCGGATTTTGGACACCGTCTTGGCTTCCGTCTCTTTAATGTCTCAATTATCTGGTGTCCACATTCTGGCCAAACAGAGGGACAATTATGCATCAGCCTGGTGTGAAATGTGTTGGAGGAAAAAGCAGATCTACTCCTGATAACTTGGACGGGCGCTAACATCATGTTTGGGTTACACTTTCATGAATATGTAGGGGATTTTTTTTTTGTTTTGTTTTGTTTTGTTTTGTTTTGTTTTTTTAAATTAGACAGCTCCACTCACATCCTTAAATAATAAAAAGGGCAAGATGAAATTAGTCATTTTATGAGCGATCCCCCCCAATAGTAGTTATGGAAATTATTCTCAGTTTCCCAATATTTTATATATTATATTATATATAAATAATATATATAATATATTATATTTTGGGGTCCTGTACACTGTCAGCTCCTCGCGGCCACAGCCCTTTAAGGACACTTTTCCTTTCTACTCTTTTTGTAGATGATGCCGATAGATTTCCACTCAATCATTCCATCATACATTTACTTTAATACTTTATCTAATACGTGGATTTACTCATCTATTTTTGTAAACTCAAGCTGAAACAAAAGCAATGATGAAAAAAAAATAGTAAAGCAGAAATATGGTAAAAGTATTTGTGTGATCATTAATGTGTTCTTAGAGTATTTGCATATTCATAAAATTTAAGGCAAAAGAAAAAACAGCACTTTGAAAACACTAACTTACGAAGTGACATATTAGTGTGTTCTAATGGCTGCCTTTTTACAGAGATGGAATCTTTAATATTATGCAAATAAACAAATTTCAGTAGCAAACAACGCAACTGAACATTTGAGTTGAGAGTCAAACACTTGGCATCCATGCACAGACTATAAATATACATATAAATCATGTTTGCCCTAGTTTTTCTTCCTCACATAATTCTTCTACTTTGAAAACATAAGGCAACACTGATTGAATGAGGACCCTCGAGGGTTTATAAAATTCATTGTATACTAATTTGACTCAGACAAATTAAAGAGCCTGCAGCAACATCTGTCCCTCAGTGCAGCCAGTTACATAATAAAAGTCCCCCGTATCATTAGCAAGTTCCACAATGAGGCCGAACTACACAGGAAGAGGATGAGGGTGATATGCCTTCAGCAAAAGTAGGAGTTGAAAATGCACTACAGCACATGCTCAACAAGAGTGTGGTCACAATAAATACTGCAGCTTGTAACTGTTGGCAAAACTCGGTGTCAGAGAACACAGAGGATTACCCACAGACAGTAAGGAGGATTGACCTGAAACATCTGTCCAGACAAAGTCGGGCAATATCACCACCAGTGGGGATGACAGTTTGAGACAAAATGACTGGGCACAATGTATTGTAACTGCATATTATGATCGGATTGTTCTGGATTAAATAACTGCTAGCTGTATGTAACTTCCATACCTTCCAGATACATTACCAACTAGAGAATCAGCATTTAAAGACTTAAAGTCATTATATAAAATCATGAAAACCATCCAATCTATCTCCACTGCAAACCCAAGCATTGAAACAGATACATTTCCTTTGCATGTGTTAAACATTAAACCATTAGAGATAAATGTTTGTACGTTTTGCAAAAGCTATTCTATGCTTTATGACCATGCTTGATAATACAAGACCTACATCCAATTGTCTTCAATGACACATACGTGTTATATATGCAACATGTATGGAGCTTCAGACATCAATCACACACACACACACACACACACACACACACACACACACAGAAATAATTATGTTCTTCTATCATCACATTAAATTTCAATTACCATAGCTGCCTTTCTCATCACCCACTAGTTTCTTTTATACTCTTTGGCAACACAGATGTTATTTACATGTCATGCCAATAAAACAAGTTGAAACTGAAAAATCTATTGTGGGTGCGGCGCGCTCACAACATTTTATGAGATTAGAACAGTAAAACTATTAAAGTCAAATGTAAAACACTATTTATAAGCATCTTGTTTCTTTACTGTGGTCTACTTACTGCTGGATAGGATATAAGCAGGACAAACTCAGATCGCATCAATCATAAATGAAAACCATGGAGGTGGGAAGCATTGTTATTATCTCATTTGTGCACATAAATGATAAATAAGTTAAAGGTTAGTTCATGCATTTCTTATTATGCAGATCTTATACAGATATATGTGCATAACACTTGTTATTGTGCAATAAGGTTATTTTTTTAATTTGCTAAATTTGAGGATGAATAAATATGCCAACTAGACAAAAAGTGTGAAAAATGGATTATGAGAAATTCAATATTAAAAAATTCAGCAGGTTCAATTCCAGATTCAAGTTCAAGTTTTCTGGTGTAAATGGAGTTTAAAAAATGAGTGATTTTTGTATTTATCCATGACCAAAACTAATATTAACTAAAGTTTTTCCACCTGATTATTCCCAAATCTAATCTAAATGCTGTTGACCCCCACTTTTTCCAACTCTCTCCATATTGTGCATGTACCATGTCATGTAAATACCCATCAAGCACCGTGCACACAGCAGACTACACATGGCAGTTTAATTATATTTTGCCAAGAGCCCCAGAAACCAAGAAGTACTCCTGTGCCGCAATGCTACCTGGCCTAAGGTTTTCTCTGTGTCAATTAGATGGTGAAAATTTGATTAAACACAAATTTATTTAGGAATATGCAGCATGTAAGCACAATATAAACTGAAATAATAAGGTCTTAAAACTAGATTTCCACTCAGGGCTCCTCTACAGTACAAGGCCTCAAGATTGGATTAGGTAATAATGCAGGACCTGCCTTAAGGCCCTTGTCATTTCAGTAGATATTGAGGTGTAGTAGTGCATATTTCCCAAAATTAGCAAATAATCACATTACAACAAGCCAAATGGAACATAGAGGGCAATCAGACTCTTTTTCCTGGTCTGCTAAGAGCCCAAGAACATCATGGAAAAAACCTTTGCGATAAGTCTGCTTTGTTTTTGTCAGCAAGATATTAAGTTGTTAAAATTGTTTTTTTAGGATACTTTATGAATGTTTCATGCCTTTCCCTTTCTTCTGAAGGATGGCATGATACACATCTACAGTATCCTAACCTTTATTTTCCATTTCCCTTAAAAAAAGCAAAGAATCCAAAAATGTCAAACTAAATATTTTGTATATTCTTTGACTTTTTAATGTCTCCCACGAGGGCATTGTTTTGCCTCACTTTCCGGCTCTGACATGTCAAAGGTGTGAACTTATTCTTTATTTCTGACAATACTAAAGAATACATAAATCTTTGAAGATGTCATGCCGAATATTGCGCGTCTGTTTTCCTGCCCGGCATCTCTGACTGTTTGCCAGTTGTGTCTTTGCTGTGCTTAGGGCCTCTGAAGAGCTTCCAAGTTTGTATTTGATCTCTGACAATCTAAAAGAAAAATGGAAACCCCCACAAGTGTCACAGAACATATGTCTACTCACTGAATCTGTTCTTTTAAATTCTGTCGGTGTGCTTACTGTACCTCGCAGCCAAGTACATTATTTTGCATGTGGTTCTCCTTTCTATGCAACAGCCTTGCTTAAGGCTTCTGAGATTTTACATTTGCTCTT